TTTTCCACAAAGAACCAAAAAACATACAAATTCGTAGATTATTTATTCAGAATAAAGATATTGGAAATAAAACTTAGGAATACTTTTTACTCAGCACTCGATCGAGAGAGATAGAGAAGTAGGAATATATTAGGGTTCTTTCTTCTAAATTTGAAAACCAATTGGATATATTTAGGAAATTAACAAACATAGTTGATAGTTAGATAAAATCAAAATCCTAGGCTTGTCTTAAATTGCTTTAATCCATACAAACTTGTTTTCAGGCGTTGATTTAGTCCGAGTCCCACATTATATTTAGTTAGTTATATTGATATTATAAAATTTGATTGTCTAAATAAAGTAAGAGCTACTTCAATTATAGTACTTATTAGTATAAATTTGATTATCAATCCATATGGGTTTGACATCCTAACTTCATCATTAGATTATAAAAATCAACACTGTACACTTGCAATATAGTTTGAATTTAACAAGTTTTTGACGTGTTTGTGAGGGATTGACTAAATTTATTTTTACTAATATTATTATTAATTAACCCTAATTTTAATTTAGATTTTATTTTTTTTATTTTTTAATAGTTTGCTTGTTTTCGTTTCAGCTGTTTATGCAAAGATCGAGAAGTTTTAACTTACTACATTTTGATCCTGCAATCGGAAAAATAATTCAGAGATTAAAGACAATAAGAAGAAACAAACTTAAAGCAACAGCAGCAAATGAAAACAATCAACAGCAAACCATTCGAGACTATGTCCAACTAGTTGCCAATAACAACTATTATAGTATTGCGCATCAAATTATTTCTACGAACAACTTTGAATTGAAGGTTGGATTAATTAGCATAGCATGGTGGAATCAGTTTGGAGTGTCTTCATTAGAAGAACCTAATGTCCATCTGCCTACTTTTTTGGAGATTTGTCATTCCATTGAAGAGGAATGGTGTTACTAAAGATGCAATTAGACTTATTTTGTTTTTCCTTCTCCTTGAAGGATAAAGCAAATGGGAGGTTTCAATCATTGCAGTATGGCTCTATCACTACTTAGATGGAATTGGCTCAGAAATTCCTTATCAAATTCTTTCCCCTTCCAAGTCAACTCAATTGTTAGGTGAGATTGGGCAATTTAAATAAAATGACTTCGAACTATTTGATGAAGCGCTAAGATTTTTTAGGAGTGCTTGATGAGTGTTTTTAACTCATGCATTTAGTTCCATTTAAACTTGATAAATTGTTAATGTTTTAGATTTTTTAGAACGTTTTGATATGTGTTTTAGTGTTGTCTTATAATATAGGTGACGTGATGATAACGGCAAGTTTTGGAGCTTGAAAATGAACACAGAGATAGAGGAGAAAAATAGGGCTTGGAAGCACGTGAAGAGTGAAAAGAAAGAGGCCAAACAAGCATGAAAACGAAGTGGGTTGAACAACAAAGGTAGGACCTAGGTGCTAACTCAATAGCACCTGGGCACCACTTTTGAAGGCAAAAGAAGCGAATCTAACAGGAACAAGGTGCACAAGAGCCTAGCCAGCCGAAGGAAGCATAAAAATTTTACAAAGATGCGGCACATATGTGCCATACTCCAAGCGCCCAGGCACCATGTTGAGAAAAAGAAGTTAAAATGCAGGAAGATAGCGCTTGAGCGTCATGCAGGCTGCGCCTAGGCACTGCCAAGCCAGAAGTCGCAATGCCCAAGCACCATTGATCCGTATAAAAGCCTAATTCAACCCCAACTCGTCTAGGACTTGAAGAAGGATCAAATATAACTTGAGATGTACGTTTCAACTATACTTTGACGAGGCGAAATCAAGAGATCAAGCAAGAGAGTGAAGACAATAACGAGAAGATTGAGTCAAGCTCCAAAACAGTTTTTATCTTTTTCTTGTCTATGTTATTAATCATGAAAAATCCTCTGAACCGTTTCCACAAAGAACCATAGAACTTATGAATTCTTAGGTTTTTCTATTCGGAATAGAGATATTGAAATTAGAATTTAGGAATAATTTTCACTCAAGACTTGAGAGAGGGAGTAGAAATATATTAGGATTCTTGCTTATAAACTTGGAAAACCAATTCAAGATATTTAGTGAATTAAGAAACATAGTTGATAGTTTGATGAAATCAAAATCTTAGGCTTGTCCTAAATTACTTTAATCCCTACAAACTTGTTTCCAATCTTTAATTTAGTCTAAGTCTCATGTTAGATTTAGTTAATTATATTGATATCATAAAATTCGATTGTATAAATAAAATACGAGCTATTTCAATTATTAAACTTTGTATAAATTTGATTATCAATCCCTGTGGGTTTGACATCCTAACTTCAGCATCATATTATAAAACTTGACATTATACCCTTGCGATATGGTTTGCACTTGACACGAGCCCATGATCAAAACAATATTCATTAACAAAATTTATTATTTATTGTCATTACAAAATTATACTAACCATTGTCTTTTTAAAAAAATAATAAAATCCTTCTACATAGGAGGTGGACTTATAATCTTTAGTTATTATCTTTTCTTTTTTCATCCTAATTTTTCTTTTTTTTTTCCTCCTTATTTAGATTAGATGAGAATAATTTTTTAACTTAAAGATTTTATTTATTTTTTCTTTTTTGCACAGCAGCACAAGAAAGAAAGTGAGGTTTTCATAGTTTAGGCTACTCTTCTTAGCAAAATGAACATTTTAAGGTAGAAATTCAATTTTCATATGGTATCAAAGATTATTAAGTTCAAATGAACAATTCAACTATACATTTTAATAATATTTAAATCCAAGATGAAACATCAAGTCTTAATATTATCCATACAACCGAGGGGCTATTCTAGATTGAATTGCAAATTTACAATGTTCTTTCCCGTCGTTAATTTGTTCCTTCGCTAAGTGTGAAAGTATTAGTGTAACTCATAGATACTTTTTTCTTCTTTTAATATTATGTGGAATAGAAATTCTTGAATTTCATTGCTGATCTCGTATCTCAAGATATTTCTTGATTGACATATTCTTACACTCGAAAATATCTACTTCTTTTTTATTTTTTATTTTTTGCAAGGGATTTTGGTACAATTGAGAGCAACTAATTTCTAGGACAAAAGAAGATGGAAGCCACCCAAATCCAGGTTAAAATTGCGCCTATGATGTCACTCTCAGCCACTAAAACTATTAATCAATTGAATTTGCTCGTGGACGACAAAAACGGGGGACACATATTGGACCTCTTTTGCAATCATTTGTACTACTTACATTAGTTGAAACTCCACCCATTTCAAAACTAATTAGGTGAATTCATAAGGAGAACTGCAATCCGAATGTTCAATCCAAATGTATATAAGTTGTGACTGCATTCGAATTTACCCGGATGGCGAAACCTGAGGGAGAAAGCCGTCACTCCTCAAGATTAGTCGAGCAAAACTCGAAAACCAGAGTCCAAAAATAATAATAATAAAAAAATAAAATTGAATCACAAGAACCCTAATAATTTTGGGGGGAAAAACTTTTAAAGCTGCAATTTCACGTGTCAATAAAGAAATGTTTAATTGTAAGAATGCTAACATGAATAACAAAAAGTCTTGTGAAAAACAAGTAGGTTTTTCCATCTGTAAATTTAAGTAAAGTGAATTGGTTTTAGGAAACCTCTAAAGACATTGGAGTCCTATAAAAATGGATTTTTCTTTAATGAAAATTTAGGTAAAGTGAATTGGTCCCTAAAAAATCTCATAAAAGATTGGAGTTTGATGGGTACACAGAAGTGACAAAGGTGCTTTGACTGCATAGCTAGGCATGTATTCTAGTTCTTGGAGCCAATTGAATGACCAAGTTGAGTAGTTGAGGTTTTAAATGAGGTCCTTGATATGTTATAGTCAACAAATTTTATTATTATTTTTTTTTTCCGATCAATTATAAAAATTCTCAGTGTTGAACTTTAATAGAATATACGGAGTATATAAGCAGTAGAAATCATATGATGTCTTCATATTAAACTATCAATTGTGCTATTGTGCAAATGTTGGATGACACTGATTAACAATGATAACGTGTCAAAAAATTGTTTATTGAAAAAATCGACAGTTTTTCAAACTGTCCATTGACAACATTGTTGTGTAGCTGGTTTTTAAAGGAGGTCCTTTGATATGTTATAGTCGGCAAGTTTTTTCTCCGATCAATTATGAAAATTCTCGATTTTGAGCTTTAATAGAATATACGGAGTATGTAAGCAGTACAACATATTTGATGTCTACCTATTAACCTTTTTACAAATTTTGGATGATATTGATTGAAAATGTTGACGTGTCAAAAAACTATTGATTGAAAAAATTGTTAGTTTTCCAAATTGTCCAATGATAACATGCCACGTGACATGATGTCAAAAATGTTATCAACGAATATTATATATCAGACATTGTTCTTAACCTAGTAGGTACAATTATTATGCTACTCCATAAATACTCTCACATGTGAGTGCAAGTTAGGCTAAATTCAAAATGTCACTTATGAATAAGTAATTAAATTATAAAATAATTAATTTTCAGTTGGTCTATATTAAAAATAAGTAATTATTGAAATTAAAAATGTTGGTGTAAAGAGGGAAGTAGCCATTATGATTTCAAGGCTGTTTCTCCACTATATGTACTGGGAGAATTGTTGCATCACATGTCTCTCTGACATTCCCCCTTGCAATTCCATGTACAAGGGGCTTAACTCAATAGTTTAAACCACATTTTTGCAAAACATGCATCGAAAATCAAAAATAAAAGAAACAAAAATTAACTCTTAACCAAAAATCTTCTAAAAATAATGACCGGATAATGTAGAAAGTGAGCCATAATAGCTGTTTGTTCTTCATCGTCTGATTTAATCATATTATTCTTTAAAGCTCATGGATCAGCCACAAAATCTGCAGATTATTAATATAATAATATCCTAATCCGTTAACAACTGCCACAAATTGACTGGTCAAGTACTGTAGTAAAAGGAAAGAAAAGCTGTATCCTACTTTCATGGAAACAGTCTTGAATTTTACGTCTCAACGGCAAAATAATTTTTTGAGTTCAATTTTGTCAAAATAATTGTGCCCCACAAAACGGGAAACGTTTACATAAACAGTAGAATTAACTTTTTAATCCCATCCATCATCAATGCATCAACCTAATTTGCTCAACCCTACAAGAAACCCCATGAAATAGGTCATCCTGTCAAGATTTTACAGTGTAAACATGGAGAAAATCTTGATTCCAGCAATTTTTTTGTTCAGAATAATTGTTATTGAGGCTGCAGTCAATGTCGGTGGTGGCATTGGCATTGGAGTTGGCGGTGGCGGTGGCGGTGGCGTTTGGGTGGGTGGAGGGATCAACACCAGTCCTGACACTCCACCACAGGTGTCGAAACTCAATGCTGCATATACTGCTCTTCAGGCCTGGAAATCTGCAATTTCTGATGATCCAAATGGGATTTTGAACACATGGGTTGGCTCAAATGTGTGTGCTTATAAAGGGGTTTTTTGTGCAGATTCTCAAGATTCAACTGGCCCGTTTGTGGCAGCAATAGATCTGAACTATGCAAATCTTCAAGGAGTTCTGGTTAAACAACTCTCTGAACTTGCTGATTTGTCTCTTATTCATCTCAACAGTAACAGGTTCAGTGGCACTGTACCTGAATCTTTCAAAGATTTCTCATCTCTCACTGAATTAGATCTCAGTAACAACAAATTTTCAGGCCCTTTTCCTGTTACAGTTCTTTACATTCCAAAGCTGAAGTATTTAGACATCAGATTCAACAGTTTTTCAGGGTCCATTCCTGATGATCTCTTCAACAAACGACTTGATGCAATTTTCTTGAACAACAATCAGTTCGATTCAGAACTTCCACAGAATTTAGGTAACTCGGCAGCTTCTGTTATCAATTTGGCTAACAACAAATTCAGTGGGAACATTCCTTTCAGTTTAGGTTACGTGGGATCTCGAGTAAAGGAAATCTTGTTTCTCAATAATCAACTCACAGGTTGCATCCCAGAAGGGGTTGGGTTATGGAGTGATTTACAAGTTCTTGATGTGAGTTCAAATTCATTGATGGGTCATTTGCCTGACTCCATATCATGTTTGAGCCAAATTGAAGTGTTGAATTTGGCCAACAACAAGCTCTCTGGGGAATTACCAGATTTGGTTTGTGAATTGAGAAGCTTATTGAATTTGACAGTGTCATCCAATTTCTTTTCTGGGTTTAGTCAAGATTGTGACAAATTGAACATAGGATTTGATTTCTCATTCAATTGTATTCCTGGGAAAAAGATGCAAAGACCTGAACCAGATTGTTCTGTGATTCCAGGGGATGGACTCAGTTGCCTTAGAATCCCTGCAAAGCCTTTGGTTTGTGGGGCACATCAGATCGTAACTCCAAGTCCCTGAGCATGTGGGTTGTTTGCGGGAAAGAACCCATTTTTCTTTTAGTATTGGTTGTCTGTGCTTTAATTGAAAGAAGTAATGATGCAGACCTTCCCTATTTATTGGTGTTGCTGTCACAAAATCTTGTAGGTGTAACACTAATTATATTAGCCTCTCTGCATAAGACAAGCCGGAGAGTACTAGGTATGAATATATTATTGATTCTATTACTTCATGATATTGTTGGATATTTATTTACGTTATTCCTTCCTCAGCATTATCTTCACTTCATTTTATCATGTCGAGCTTGACTATAGAGGTTTGCACACTCATGTATTAGAAAAAGAATAATGTTATTTAGTCACCAGCATCAGTAGTATTGGGATTCTCTTTCAATTAGTGGTCAATAATTATTTTTAATGTAAAAACGGAAGCATCGTAGTTAACACGAGCTTATAACTCACATTTACTGAATTCTTTGTTGACAAAAATTACCCGAATCTGTCAACCAAAATTATAAACTCGTTGAAACATCAATGTAGTGCCTGTGCATCCCAGAAAATCTAAAGACATCATAGACCCATCATTGCCTCAAACTTTCGTAGCCTAAAAGATCGTACCCCTTTCAAGAACTGGCTGCAAAGGACAACCTCCGCATAGCTAGTTAGGAGGAGATAACATTACTTATATCTAGGGCAAATCATCTTTCTTTTTTATTTTTTTAATAACTTGAGACTTCTTTTTGAACTTTTAAAAGATTGAAAAAGCTACATAAATTTTTTAAGGTGTGGTAAAAAGTTGTATCGTGCCAAGTAATAACCTAACTCGAGCTGTCATAAAACTAGAACAAGGACCTTGCTATTTGTACAGATCCTCCCTGATAGAACAAACTCATGGGGGAGTAGGGCGCAATTTTTTATCATTTTATTTCACTGGGGTCCCACGCGAGTCCCACGTGAATGTGAGAATATGTCAAAAAGGTAGTAAATCATTTTTCTATACAAATGGTATTTTCCCTAGAACAATTCAACACACACCGCTAATTTGTAGTGTAGACTGAGTCGAACCTCGTAAGCTATGGAACTTAACTAGTAATGTGATATGTTTATGTCCATTTTCCAGTCATAATTTTAGTTTCTCGTGTTTGGCCAAATCAACTTGACCATATGGCTTTTGATTAAATATGTTATCTTCGTGATTATCAGTCCCCTGCATAAATGAGGCGAGTTACAATTCCCTGACACATAATTCTTCAATTTTTCGACCTGCTATGCAACAACATACATCAGATTTGGGAGTTTGAAAGATCGTTTGGCGACTGCGAATCCCAACAAGTCACTCCACTGATCTCCGGAATTCCCATGAATTATGTAACCTTCATCTTCTAAGTGCTTCCTCCTCTCAGATTTATAGATGGTCGCCGGTTTACCATGATCAGAACGTTTCCTATTTCATCCACAAAATATCATAGATCATTCATTCTTGTTCACAGAATTGTTTCATATATACGTATATACTGACGCTCACCAAAAGAGCAATACTCATGAAATACGTACGCTAAATGTTTGCTACACAATACTGAATGGGATTAGTAGTGTGATATATAAAATGAACAATGCAGGAACTCGAGATTGATATTGAATTATATTTACCTCAAGATGAGCCTTTCCCAGTTGCTGTATCCGGCAAACTGCAGATTACATTCTGTAGCATTCCTTTGTAATTCAGTCCGACCCGTCAATAAAATTATCGTAAACCCAAGTTCCTCAAGGTCCTTGTATAACCTTAAACTTGCAGGTACAGATGGTGCTTCGGCCATATCCACCCATTTATTAAAAGAAGCTTCATCGAAGATCTCTGATCTGTGTCCACATGCAATCAATAAAATTAAGAAACCAGAACAGCATATTTCAGATATATCTGTAGCTAATAGTCATTAGCAAAAATTAACAGCCCAATTCCTCAAAAGGGTAGAAAAGCATATAACCAAGTCTTGTTCCATGAGTAGCTTATTAGCCTAAGAGCATGTTTTGTTGTGCTTAAAAGTGAGAAACCACGAGTAGCATATTTCAGTGTAACTAATAAGCATTAGGCAAAATTAACAGCCCGATTGCTCAAAAGGGTAGAAAAGCATAATAATTCTGGAAATCATTTACAATAGAAAAGCGTTATAGATTATATTGTAAATTATTTCTTAAACTCTCTATCTCGGGTTGCATATCGTGGCTTTGTATTGTTATTTAGACTCCAAAAAATGGGAACTTCGAGGCTTCGAGCTCAATCAGGGCTCAATTAAAGGTTACATCTAATAAGATAGTTATTCTCTACAATCCAAGCAAGCATCATTTCTCTGATATGAGTAGTTAAACTTGAACTTCGCACAATTCAGAATTTAGACAAAGCTAGTCATGCCACACAATCATGTTCTTTTCAAAATTATCCTTCATTTCTTCAGTTTAAGACAACCAGCAAAATTTAACATTTATTTCCCTGGCACTGAATAATTTCCAAGTTAAAACAGAACAAATTTTGCACGAGACTCTAGCCAATATGAGAGGAGAGACACAATCTAACCCTATATCACCACTATCAGACCCCGAGAATCCACCTCACTATCAGCTCTAATACCAACTAATGTACGGAGATGCAATCACTTTTCCCAAAGGGCTTTGCTAATGTACCCAGGCGTTTACACGCCCCTCACATGGGGGGTGGGTCCCACGCATTTATTGTACGCAGGCACCGCCCCCCACATGGGGGGCGGGTATCCGAACGTCTAAACGTCAGGTACAAATAGCATTTTCCTTTCCCAAAAGCTATAGCTGATAGGAGGGACGCAATCTAGCCCTGTGTCATCCAGGATCATGCCCGGGATTTAACCCCAAGCAATATTCCTTTGGGAGTTTATTTCAATGTATCCCTTATGAAATAGGCCAACCCCATATAAACAAGCATGTAAACTATTGTAAAAGCTAATTATTCACTTATGAGTAGTCTTTTTAAGCTTAGCCAAAAAAAGCTAATTGTTGAAGGGTCTTATTATACTTTCAATCAGCATTTAGTTACAGCCATGGACATCAAAAAGCAACCACATGTATATGTAAACCACAATCACATACCAAAGCAAAATCCATTAATCATACATCAGAAGTTAAACGAAATCTACGATTTAAAATGCATCAAGAATTACCCAAATCCATGGCTCGCGTAGAAGGGAATGTTCGAAAGCAATGTCTCGTCAACGTCAAAGATCCAAGCGTGCTTCCCGTCGCCGGAAAGTTTTACCGTCTTCGCATAGGCCAAGGAATTGTCGGCCACGGCCGCTAAATCCGATAAGTACTTATCGCCAGTCATGTAGTCCTTCACAAATCCCTCACACCTCGCCGGAACCCGATCCCAGATCCCAGCATCATTTGTCTCCACCGTGAACCTCCAGCTCTCGCAGTACAAATCCTTAAGGATTTTCCGGTGGCCGGTAATCCTATCCGAGGCCAAGAGGGTTAGCTTTTCCGTCGAGATTTGGATGATTGATTGGGAGAATGCAACGGTGAGAAGAATCAAAAGTCGAAAAATGGCCATGCCGGAAAACCAAGAAAGCTCCTCCTATACAAAGAAGTGCTGATTTTGCTCCTCGTACCCTCTATATTACAGCAACGATAAAGCTACTTTATCTTAATGATTTGATAAAAAGCTTGAACGTGGCAATTAATAATTGAATAAAAAAGTTGAATGATTTTTAATCTATGCGGTAATAAAATATCACGTGACATTTATGTCAACTTTATGTTAATGTAGCATGAAATAAAGAAAAAGAAAACTAAATGATGAAATCCACGAACGCATTCATTTTTCCGAACCCTCCAAACCTCTCCATTACCATCTCCTATTTCCTCCCTTCACAACAACCGGACTCATCTCCACCCTCGACCGGCGCCAAATCCGTTAAGAACAAACCTCGCAACCCTTACCCATGTTAGTGAAGAACAAATCACTGATTCTTAGAGCAACTCAAACCCTAACACCGAAACACCATTTTCCCCCCTTTTTGCACCAAATATTTGGTGTAATATCGCTCCAACTCAAAACCAAATTTTGCACTATTTTGCTCCAAATTTAATAAAAGTCAATTTTGCACTTTTTTTCATTTAGCAGAAAATGATATCACAAGTATTTGTGTCATTTTACATTATACATAAATTTAATTCTTAAGTAGTAGTAGTAGTAGTAGTAGTAATAATAATAATAATAATAATAATATTATTATTATTATTATTATTATTATTATTATTATTATTATTTGTAATAAACTTTAATCTTGTAATCAATAATAATCAATGGATGAATTAAATAAAAGTTCTCAAAAAAATTTAAAATGCAACAAACATGATTATTTAAAATTTAAACGAAACTACAAATCAAGGATAAAAATGCTCACATTACCCTTCGAAATTTATTAATAGAACATTTATGTGATGAATATACGAATTTTGATAATTAAATTACGACACTAGGTCGACTTTGGCGTATCATAATATTGAGATTCAAAATGTACTACGTTATTTTTTAATAACATGATTTAATATTTTCTTCGTTGTGATATTTTTATTAATTGTACTACATTTTTTAAATTTATTAACCAATTTAATATTTTCGTAAACGACATGTAATAATTTTTCTAGATCTGGAGTTTTTCGAATTTGGGTATCCGGAAAGCTTGAATTTGCAATCCTCTCAGCCAGAATTTTCATTTTTGGAGCTGCGATCTTTGAAGATGCTGATATAGTGGGTGACATAAAATGTTTTGCTACTGGTTTCTTGGGGTTATGCAACTTGGATTCGTTTGATCTTGACTTGAATCATTCTCATTGTTTTCTACTGAACCTAATCAAATACATATTCTTGGTTGGAAAAAAAAAATTAAATTAAATTAAAGGAAACTCATTGCCAAATATGGAGATGAATCAGCTTGATTTTTAACTATTGTCGGTTTTGCTTCATGGGTTTGTGTGTGTATATAAACAAAACTTTACTATGTCAATCAGTTGAGATGCTGTGCATTCAAACCAAAGCTGGCGTCTGACGGGTTGATGGAATTGAAAGTCGTTTGTTTTTCTGCTTGGACAATACCGGAGATGGAGAAGATGACCGGGAAATAATGTGGCTCACAGAAAAAATCAGAGGTGGAAGCTATCAGCTATGTCGCTGGGCAGTCGAGATTTTCGTTAGAGGACGGAAGACGTTGGGGATAATAGAAGAAATTAGTCAGGCTGGTTTTGAAGGTTCCCCAATTTGGGGGGAAAAGAGAAGCTCCGGAGCCGATTGTAAGTGTTTTTCCCTCGTTTCTATTTTTTTTTTCTTTTTTAGTTAATTTTTTGCCATGTTACCCCTATTCAAAAGAATTAAGGGAGTTGACCAAAAATTGTTAATAGACGTTTTGACATCCTCTCACACGAATGTGGAACCCAAGTAAATAAAAAATTCCAAAAAAAGAAGTGGCCCTCACCTTGCGAGTGTTTCGATTAGAAAAACTGTCAACCCCTCATGTCAGTGTAGCAAAGTTATATTCAAAATCCCCTTTAAACTCTCCGTCAATCAAATTCTTTACATCTAGCTTTATTCATATTACACAGTCACAGATGTCAAGTGGAATTAGCTAGCTTAGCAGTTGTTCAAATAAAATACCTACTTTGATTTATATTAAAATGAAATAAGCTCATGTTTGACTTCTTTTTTCAAAATTCTCACTTTCTCTCCTTTTTTTTTTTTTTTTTTTTTTTTTTTTTTGTACATATACATTTTCATTCACACATTCACAAATAAGATATTCTTCACGTAAACTCAAAACATTCCTTGTTTATTAACAACATATTGTCTTAAAATTCACTATTCAAAAGATTATTTTTGACCTTTTTTTGTTTGCCAAAAGTGGAATGAACGAAAGGGTACTTAAATAGAGCGGGATTGGCGAAAATCTCGAAATCTGATTGTGAAACCACCGGCTGCACCTCTCTTCTCCATCTCTCAGGCCACGCTTTAAAGCAGGGTAAAGATGGCACAAGCTTGTTAGGTGCTGGGTTCCATGGGCACTTTTCAAGACACTTCTTGCAGGGACTGCCTCTTCCTATAAGACTGCTAATTCAATGTTTTATACTTACCTTTATTATGAATTATTAGTTAATTGATAACAAGTTTTTTTCTTCTGTAAAACAAGAATGTGTCACTTAAAAAGTGTCAACCATTGCTCATAGGATCAAATACATAATTTAGATATCATGTCTTGTAGAATGCTGAAAATGATAAATTAATATTTGAGTGCTTGCTAATTCATGAGACCACTTCACAAGAGTAAGAAAACTGGCATTTTTTGTCATTCAAGAAGAGCCGAGTTCGGGCAAAATGTCGAGCAAGCGTTGCTGTGAGATATAGAATTTGGGGGTGAATTGGAACAAGGTGCAAATACAAATTAGAATTTCTTGAATAGCTTTTTGTACTCACCAGACCTGTCTAACGATTCACCTTGACATTCATTTACATGAGAATGAAGCAACTATCAGCCCAAAAAATTCTGGTGTATCTTCTACTTCAGCTAACCTCGAGAGGAGCACAAGATTTCCACCTCAACACCAGAAGAATGAAAAGCAGTCCTGCCCACCAATCGTTTAATAAAAAGGAAAACTGAAAATGATAAAATTTAGAATTTTGTTGTCATTGTATAGTTAAAGATCTGAAAAACAGCAATTCACCAGCTCTTCAGAACTCCCAAAGATAAATACAAAAGGCAATTCAAGAAATGCCCAAAAATGAAAAATTCTCTTGCTACTTCATCACATGTCGTCAAGTAAAGACTACGTATGCACATGGAGTCGCATAAGATACATCTTCTATGTCACCACGAGTCACGAGAGCTTTACATAGAACATAAGCATTTTTGTCAATCAGCTAGCTTCTTTGAAGCATTTGAATGCTTCGCTTTGGTTAAAACCGTTTCATTAGGATATACAGCTTCGTTCGTGTACATTCTACAAGGGAGGACCCATGGAGGTGATTTACAATCTTGCGAACCTCCTAGCTAGGTGACAAAGTAAGCCCAAACCCCATCTACCTTAAGAGGCGAAGAGTGGGACACTTGTTTAGTGTAAAGAAAATTATCCACACTTCTCCTTCGACATCAAGTATGACATTAAAGTAGGGGGTCACATGATCTGGTGAGAATCTTGTGACTGTATTTCCTACCTCATAATATGTCATATTTGGGAGTACTATTACTCATAGTCAGAGTCTGTAGTCGTTATCTTATGTATCAAATTGTTATTAGAGGTATCAACTTATAATTTGATGTTATAGGAAATTAATGTCTTAAATAACAATCTGCCACATAAAATGACTATAGCAGTCCTGACTATGAATAGCATTATTTCTTATTTGGAGGCACCATGGGACATTCGCAGATTCTAACACCACGTAGCAATTGGCCACTACTGTAAGCGAAAAATCATTATAAAAGGAAACATGATCAAACATGGAAAATGATCGAATCAATTAACAATCAAAATGTATGCAAAAGGTATGAAAAGTCAAATATATAATCTACTTTATTTTAAATACTTCACGCAGAATCAAAGAAAATGTATGCAATATTCATGTTATACTTTTTCCATAACTTGGCTTTCGGAGTGCAAATGATCGTTAAACCATTCAGTGGAATGGATCCTTCATGTGCTAACGTTTTTGAAGTGTGAATAGACGGAAATGTGAGAAAGGATCTCTTGACAACTTGATCAATCAAATACTTTGGTCAAACAAATTCAGTTATTAACTTAGAAGGAAACAATTCAGGACTAAAATGAAACAACTTTAATAGTTGAATGACTAACAATGTCTGTTGACTTTTATTAATAAATTAGCTTCTTCACGCACCCTCTTTCTTTATAACGCCCATTCCCCTGAAATCATTGAACTCCGTAACCCAAACATAAACCCCAACAAAATCATCAAAATCAAAGCATCATAAACTGTAAAGTACGCAGATTGAAAAAATTGTACTTGATTACCTCTGACATGGCGTCCGGCATGTTACCATTTCGGCCGGCGGCAGTGGTCAGAGCTAGTATCAGCGCCGATGACCAGAAACCTGAAGCTAAAAAAACTCCATCGTCTCACTGGTGGGCCCCGCTATTCGGGTTATCGTCGGACCCGGACTATATACAGTCCGACGAGAAGAAGAGCAACCCGGACCCGAGACAGTCGAAGTCCCGATTCACTCCGGGCTCCTTCACGGAGGAAAAGGCGAAGCAGCTCCGGAGGATGACAACTGATACGTCGTCGTTCCACGATATGTATCACTCCGCCATCGCATCAAGGCTCGCCTCCGATTTCGCCGACGACCGGCGTACTCCGTGAGTGATGTATTTCTTAATTAATTAACTAATTTGTATAAATATTTGAAAATTGTTAGAAGATACATGATTGATGTGGATCTGATGCGTATAAGCTTGTTAAAATTTTAATCAATATGATTATGTAATAATGATGATGATGATGATAATAATAATAATAATAATAATGTATTATTCTCCTTGTAAATCCTGTAATCAGTACTTGATGTGTGATTATGGTGATATATTAAAGTAATTGGCTTTTGGACTTTGTCATTATAACTTATTATACTGTAATTGTGTCTGGATATGGCATTTTTCTATTGAATAATGCTTGTGGTACACTGAGGTCTTCAAAAGGATGTCCAGGCGGTCAAGGTGCCGATGGGCCCCAGCGTGGCAGGCGCCGCCGAGGTGTCCATTTTAGACACCTCGTTGGATACCACAATGTACCCATAGCATGATTGTTTTCGGCCAAGACGTCGGGTGTCCATTTTGGACACCCCCGTTGAATACCACAATGTACCCATAACATGATTGTTTTCTATTTGGAGTTGGATCAATAATTGATTATTTATTTATTTTCTAAGGTGGGTTGAAGTGATTTGATCGATGTTATCATATTGCCTCAGTTAAGTTGGGAAGAAATTGTTGGCATTAAGAGAGTCCATATGTGAATCGATCTTCGGGTAACCTCGTCATGAAATTGAAATCGAGATGGGCCAAATTTTCATTAAGGATAATTTAGGAATTTCACATATATAATATAATTTTGATTTTATTCAAATTTTTCTTATAAAAAAGGAAGGAGACATTTAAGTTTTATTTTATCATCATGAAAAAAGAGAGATGTTAGAGAAAGTATGAAGTGCGATTTTTCTCTTATGAACTTCTTTTAATCATGGTGAATTATTGCAGTGGAGAGAAGAATATAGTCTCACTTTGAGACAAATTTCTATAATTCCTGTATGTTCTATTGAATCTTTATTTCCTTATCTCGATTTTATTGTTTTTGGTTATATAGAAATTAGAGTTTTTAATTCTTAACAATCTATGTTCAGGTTTGATTATAAATAAATTTATAAGAACTTTTTAGGAGGAATAGTGGCGGGGTCACGAAATGTGTTAATAATAATAAGTATTAGTTATGAATATATAGTTAAAATTAAAGTTTGATTTAGGAATGACAAAAATACCCGTTAAATCGGATACCAACAGTGCCCCCACCTCGTTAATTGGGTACGAGGGCGGGGAATTCCATTCGAGGCGGGTACTGGTAACAGAGATTCTGCCCTGTCCCGTTTATTATATATATATTTTTAAAGAACTCAATACTTTAAATAGAAAAATTCCACAAAGATAAAAATTCCGTTTACAAATTTGTGTTTAAAAAGTATCACAAATGCTGGAAGAAATTATAATTTTCGAGTGATTTAAAGTTAAAATTGGCATACTACCAAATTATTACATGCTCAAAATAGTTTTCGAAGTAAAATATTTCCAAGTTTCCTATTTCTCCAAAAAGAATATTCAGATGCTGCATTGCCGACCATAATTTGAAAGTGTTTTTATGTCAAATAATCAAAATATGTTGGGATTCAACATTGGGAATATGCTTCGAATATGAAGATATTTGGCCAAACTCATGTATTTGGAGAGGGAATAAAAGACCAATTTGTATTTTGTTCATATAACCGTGAAAGGAACTCTATTAATGCTATTTTGTCTATACGCAAAATACGAGAGAAATTTTTTCGCACGTTTATTTCTTTTAGAATGAGACACGGTATGTATTGACGTTTTACACTTTGATTAAAACTAGAGATATGACATGTTAATTGGTTTGTATTGACACATTTAAAAAACTTTCTGGCATTATGCTCGGTCGACTTTGGCGAGCTTGACAATTATTTAGAATTTTTTGATATGTTATTTTTCTTCGACCGTGAGCATCAATAGACATTCATTACGCGTAGATTATGAAATTCTTCTATTTACATGTTATCTAGATATGAATGTCTATGCATTGGATATGCTCTTAATTAATCAGTTTTCACAATTTTTTTCCCTTTTTCAGCAGTTTCTCTAAAGATTTCAAATTCAAATCTATACAGAAATGGCAGATATTATGGGCTCAGAATGCAAAATCTCGATGTATATAGGAGAAAGGGGAGGTTGATGTATTAAAAAATGGTTCCTAGTCTCGAGAGACAGAAACTAGAAAGAGTAATGCTGAGAGAGATTATTATTATTAATTTTATTTTTTTATTTTTTTATTTTTTTGTAAAGAGAGAGAACCATTGTAATGCTGAGAGAGATTATTATTATTAATTTTTCTTTTTTTTCTTTTTTCTTTTTTTTTGTAAAGAGAGAGAACCATCTTGATCAAGAAGATTTTGCTATGGCAACGGACTAGGTTTTGTGGCCACGTAGAAGGTTCCAGAGATTTCAAAGAAAAACAAATGTGAAAATATGGAATCCCTCAAAATGAACTATAACCAATGTTATAAAAATCGGACTGGAACGGCAGGTTCAATCGGAAAACTCGTGAACCGGCCTTTAATCTGATTCGATACTCGTACATTAATCGGAAATTAAAAAACCGGCTAATAAACCATCAAGTCGGCCAATTCGACCGTTAACCGGTAAACCAGTCGCGATTTTTCCCGAGTGTTTTACTTTGTTTTTTTCACAAAAATTTTTAATTATCTAAATGGGCCACCCATTGCAATTGAAGCCCAGATAACTTTTTTATGCAAGTTATTCTTCTTTACCTCCCTTTTAAAGGAGATAATTCTTTCAATAATTTAATAATATTCCAGTGTGGGGTACTAGTTCCTTTTTAAATGAGACTCTTTTTCTAATGTTGTGATTATCTTTCAATGTGAGATAATAGTCAATTGTTAATTCTAACTTTCTAAACGCTTGCTAGTTTACTTCATTATTTTCATTAACAAATCATAAACCCCAACAAGATTTATAATTTTTAATTTGAACAAAGCAAATTATTTTTGACTTATTAATTATTAGTTTTTGAGGTTATAAAATAAATTACTACAATAAACCTAATTAACAAACTTGATTATATTTATTTTGAATGAGAATACTAAAATTTAAATATTTATTATAGTTGTGATATTTTATAGTTTATTTGTGCATTTATTTATTTAATTTGTCATCTGGTTCAACCTTTAAACCTCTACCCTCTTTCTTTTCCGGGTCGATGTTCGGATCAATTTTTAAAACATTGACAATAACAATGATCTAATCACCATATCTCATAAAAAAACCCCTCTTGGAATACTACACGGAAACACCAATGAAATATTTAACCAAAATTTGTTACTGTTCAAATAGATATTTCTCCCGAAATAACCATTGAATTTTAAGAACAAAGAGTTTAGAACGAGCTATCCAAATTTCACAATGATCAGACTATGAAGCACCGAGATACCAATGTTCGATCAATATCTTCACAAATTTTCCAACTTGTGAAATTTTCTGCAATATTGCTTTTGGTTTTTCTTTATAATTTGGAGTTGAATTATTTTCTTGCACAAACCAATTTTCTTCTCGTTTCATCCCATATATAAGAGTTTAGGTCCCATTTGGTAGTAATTTTTCACCCTCAAAAATCAAATTTCTAACCGTTATTTCAATATTTCAGCCGTCATTTTTCACTTTTTCACTCACGGATAAGATTCACTTTTCTCTCTAACAGTCAAAAAATCAATTCTCATAATCACTACCAAACAGATCCATAATAATACAGGCATCATAAAAGACAATGTGCAAGTTTTCCTTCGTGAAGCTTTAAAAATTCGTAATTAATATTCCTTCTCCATCATAGTGCTTGTTAGATATGGATTTTGATAATTGATTTTTTGACCGTTAGAGATAAAATGGGTCCTACCTATGAAAGAAGAATTCATAAATGACGGTTGGAGTAATGAAATAACGGTAAAAAAAAATTAATTTTAATTGGCTTAATAGCTATATCAAACAAGCTCATATTAATCAATGGTCCTTTTAATCGGACCAATTTGTTGGGCTTGGACCCTTAATCCACCCAAAAACATGGGACAGATACCCAACAATACTCTCCATCGCCTCATGTTGTGGGCTCCACACAAGCTTCCTCCTTGCCTACACGTTTCTTCTTTGGTAAAGGGTTCGTCAACATATCCCATTCATTCTCACTAATGTGAATTTTCTCTAAATTCTACTGCTTTACTTCAATTACATCACGGAATCAATGATATCTCACATTGATGTATTTGGATCTAGACTGGATCAAATTCTTGGAGAGATGAATTGTGTTCTGATTGTTACAATAAAGCACGTATTTTTCTTGTAGTAGACCTAATTCTTTTAAATACGTTCTTCGTTTCACTTCTTCGATATTATTGAGTTGATCCATAACTCCAGATCTTCATTATTAATTCAATTACCTTTTTTCATCTAAATTTCCTTTTCAATGCCTTAGCCATCATTCCTTTTATCCAAATCGTGGTTCTCGAATATTCCATCTTTTAGTCCTTTTTAATGCCCAAATCTCTTCCTTTTTATTTGATTCAACTCCAAGTTGGGATTTCAACATAGAAAAGTAATATACACTAATATGAGTAAAAATTTGCTTAAATAATTAAATTTTAAGTAGATTGAAGAGACTAGATAATTATGTAAAACACGTTTACCAAAAAAAAATTCAAAAAAATCAAAATGTCTTGTCCATATAATCGTGAAAGAAATTTTATGCACTTGTTTTTTCAAGTAAGAAACATGATATAACATTGATGTTTCACTTTGGGTTGGTGTAGCAAAACAATATAATGGTATTGTTAATATAAGACATGTTAAGGGATCCATGTTACACAATAAAATATTTGCTAGCTTGATATTGAGGTTCTCTCTCTCTCTCTCTCTCTCTCTCTCTCTCTCTCTCTCTCTCGCTCGTTCGAGTATTATATTTCTTCAATTATAAACGAAAATTAAAATCAAATTGTGAGGACCTCGAGTATTGGCTAGTTGAAGCAATACAAAAAATTTCTATTTTATTGGTGATGAATATTGTCGATGCATGTATAATGTCGAGCTCAAGAACACTCATCCGTGCGACTTTATATCCACGTCAAAGTCACAATACACGAGGTATCGACAAAAACGGAGCTCAAATAGGGACTAATATAGTCGTCCTATGACCTAAGCAAGGGAAAGGAGATGCCACCCTTATCACTTCTATCGCATTCGACATTGCCTTTATGTGAACTCAAGTG